TCCTTGATGCGCGAACACATGGAGCAGGAGCTTCACTTTTTGCACCTGAAAATGTGTTTTAAATTTATGTAATGCATCAATTTCTCCATAGCTTTATAGCATATAACAAGTTTCAAAATCATGCTAAATTGTTTATAACAATTCATTGATTTTAAAACATATAAATTATAAGAAAATGCTGACCCAATGACAAAATGTAAAATTTCAATGTGAAATGAAATATTTTGATTCAGTCAGTTAGTGTTTTTTGTACAAATTACATATGTACATACTTTACTTTATACTTTACTAAAGTGCCTTGTGTGATTAATCACGATTGATATAATTGTATGAATGTGAGAGTCCTATATGTGGTGGCATATTTTGGTGGTAAAGTCCATCATAGATTGAATTACAAAATGAATTGTATATAAAACACTTTACGATGGAATATTTACAATCAACTTATGTTTACCTGATGCTGTTGCGTTACACACTGTAGTAGTTTCATCTTTATTGACAGTTCTTGCAGGTTTCCTCACACATGAATGTGCACGTGTTGTTTTTTTGTTTCCACAGGAGGTCAGTTGGGGTACAAACTGAAACCAAAATCATAAAAACATTACTTTGTGGATAAGGTTATCCAATATTGAGGTTAATTCTAATATTGTTTTCACTTGCAGCCCTTAGTCTAGTTAAACAAAATCTGACCCCATCTGTGTTTTCCCTACCTATAAAACCTTGTCAAATTCTTCTTGTTTGTGATAACACAAGAACAAATATTGAAGTACATAAAACTATACATTAATGTGACACATAGTGTGCTGTAAATTAAATAAAGTGAGAGTGGTTTATGAGATAAGGGATGGTGTGGGATCTTACCCAAGGTTTTAGTGGCTCACGGATACCAGTGCTCGTCAAATGCCTAGGTGAAGCCAACTCAGGTAAAACTGATTTATGATAAAATGCTGTCAGCTTTGGCAGCATGTCGTTTTCCCACAAGGATTTGTCTCTATAGATGCGCTCTATGAGCATCTGGTAGGGGTTGACACGTCGGACAACAAAATCTACCCAGGAGCACCGAAGTATATTAACTTGGCCTTGACATTGAAGGTAGTAATTATGTTTTTTTCTTTAGAGACAGCTTATTGTCTGATGATAGTGTGAGACAAAAGTTTCCCTTCTTTGCAGCCTCCTCAAAGGTGAGCTGATTCCTCTGAAGCAAGTTCTTTACCTCAACTAGCCCTTCATCAGTTCCATGGGACACTTTTCCATCGGGTGATGCTCCCAAAAATTTATGCTGTTCATCAATCACCAGGCCGACAGGCGTCATGATCATGTCCACACCCATGTGTTGTTTCGTTTGCTTTATGTTCTCTTTAATGGCAATGGATTCTTGTCCTAAACCGAACCTTGCGCAGTGATTCCCCTGAAATTTTGAGTACAGCAGACTCTTCACCAAAGTACCTGTGTTTAATATTGTGTTCCTCTTAACAACGTCTCCAAATCTAGATGCTGTCAATCTTTTCTTCCTTTCCTCAATCCAGGTAACACTTAGTGACTGGTCACGAGTTGATTGCTCAATCTGGTGAAGTTTGGAAATGGGAAGGTTAACATGTGTGGACAAAAACGTATCGCATTTCTTTTGCAATACACTTGTTGGTATGTCTGGGACAACATCCAGGGCCTCCACTCCATTCTCTTGACGAGCTTTTTTGCTAGCTGCTTGGGTAGAGTGTGACATCTTCCTTTTGAATGCCCTCCTCCTCACCTCGGGGTTGCTCTTACTGCGCTGACTGGCTGGTTGATGAATAGCCCGCTGGTGGTAATGGGATGTGTATGATGACCCTGGTTTCACTCCTGTAACGGTGTACCAGACAACTGGAGACCACGCTGTACCAAAATTCTTCCGCAATGCACCCCATAGCATCGACTGTGCCAAGAACCTCTATTACATCGGTTAAACTGCTTGCCACCATCAAATTTTGCACGGATCTCCATCCATGATTCTGCCAAGTTTGTAGTGAAATTTCCAATCAGGCGAGAAGACTTTACGGCCATGGAATTCAGGAGGACACTCACATCTCTAATTAATTGAGGGTCTATTGTCCCGGTCGCCTTGGTTCTAAAACGTGATTCCTCAAGCCCTTCTTCACATATTGCTTGTTTCCATGCTTCCTCCTGGTCAGCCAAAACATCAGGAATGGTATCAGCAGGGTCCAGACCACCAACACCATTTGAAACACAATCTGAGGTTTTCTCCGGCTTCTTTGTACAAAAGTCACTGCAATTGTCATGGTTACCCAAAACATGATGCACGGAATTACGGATATCGTGCTCAAGTTTTCGTGCAGCCGCCTTCTTGTCCGTCTCCTGTGACCTCCTACGAATTGCACATCGTACGCCCTTAGTTAGACGAATACGAACCATCTTGGTAAGTTTTCCCTGACCTTTATACTGAGGCTTACTCTCCACCAGTCTTTCAAGATTTGCACGCAGACACTTGCAACTATGGTTAGCGCATTCCATTTTTGTGACTTTCAGTCCCCACACTGGCACTTGCTGCTGGATCCTGGCAAACACAGAGCTATCCCCATCAGCAATTAGGCGCATATAACGCAGACCATGTGTTGATTCCGCCTTCTGAAAGCCCTCAATTATAATGTCTGCTTCCATTGCTTGACTAGTGTCCGTCCAATTCCGGAAGCACAGGTGTGGTTTGGGTTCACAATGCCTGGATTCAGCTGTTGAGCAGACATAACAATGTTTGTTTCTTACCCCTATGTGAAGCAATTTCCCTTTCCACAGCTAAACGACGCTCTTCAGCTCCAGCTTCCTGCATGTCTTTCTCAAGGACGTTGTGCCATAAATCCCCAATTTTTTGCTCCATCTCTGAGTAGGAAGATTGTCGGAGTCCAGGGAGCCCAATTGTAGCCAGCATTTCATTCAAAGAAGCCAGTCCACCACCTGTCACCATTGAGCCCCAAACTGCTCTCCTATTAGTTTCTTGCAGAGTTGAGTTAGGAATCTTCTTACTCGTTTGGAGAACAAATTCCTTTCCACAACCTGGACAGCACATCTTTAAATCACTTGCAAGGCCATTACGGTATTTTTCTACATAATTCACGGACATTGACACATCTTTTGCTGCTGCACACGTCACAACCTGACTAAGTAAATCGGATAAATGTTTCTGGAAATTGTCGAGGTTGAACAATCGACTCCCATCAAGTGTATTGGTAGAATCTGGAGTAAAAGTTACCTTCAGTCCATCTTGTCTCAACTTTCGGGCTCTCAGTTGAGATTTCCTCTCCTTTATTCGTGTCACTGCAAGTCGAAGTATAGGCTGGCCATTTATGATACTATATCACCTTAATACCCGGTGTGGATTGCACCTTTTCTCCTTGTCCTGCTTCTTAAATTCTGCTACCTTTTTTGCTAAGTGCCTCTGTCGCAGTTTGCTACGTGCAGAATGGCGTCCAGTTGCTGCATAAAACTTTGTAACTCGTCTTTTTCTTTTTCCCATGTCTGCTTAGAATTGCTCCACGTATATGAGTTTCCATACAGTACCGCAGGGTCTTTTATACTTGGTAAGATTTGCGGGGGCTATTGGCAGGGGGTACACAATACGTAACAAATGTTTTTTGTCGATAATAAATACATTAAAATGTCAATACAACAAATAAGGTTACATATGAACATGGAGATATGAATGAAACATAAAAAATATCTTAGTTCACAAATAGTCGTGTTGTCGATAAAACGAGAAAGTTTTCGGACCCCAAACAAATATCTGAAACCACGCGAGAAAATGCAGATCTGACACTTACCTGACAGTTCAACACGGAGCAACCACACCATAAAAAGTCATATAGGATTGATAAGAAACTGAGGTTCTGCGATCGGCTAGCTCAGTGATAGTGTATGCAGCATATATTGCATAATATATAAGGATCTCGAACGTAATAGTAATATTTATGTGTAAATCATACTTACTTGTATGGACGTTTCCTCGTGTAGCTCCCGGATGTGCCCAACAACACCTGTGCTATTGTTTATACTCCGCTTCCGAAGAACTACATGTTTGTCAGTTGTTTGAGATTTTAGCATTTAAGCATAATATTACATATTCTGAGTATACCAATCTTGTTACTAAACATAAATCATTATCATTTTGAGTCTACAATATCAGTTTTATCGATGTTTTGGAAACATTTTCGGATTCGCGGCGTGATATCACAGGATGTAAAAAGTCCATCATGGCGAGTTGTAAACAAGCTTCGGATTCAAGTATGTGAAATCGTCGCTTTTATGGACGAATCTGGTTGCGATCCATGTTCTCTCCAGTAGCAGTAATTGGTAACGATACCCATTTAACCAAAAATTATCATGTGACGGATTGTCAACACCAGATTTTGTTTTATAGAAGGTATGAAGACACGCTGCTTAGCTCGCTATCGAAAGTCTCAAAAGCCGGGGAAAAATTTTACCCCCACGTGTGTTCAGAAAGGATTTTTGTCGATATGGAATAGAATTTCGAGAAAATATCGATAGGTTTCCATTCATTATATGTGCGAGAAATAAATTATCTATATTGAGTAATATTTTATCGTGTAATAAAAGCTACAGCGATGCAACCATAAACAATTACAAAAACACGAGTTTTCTTCTTATAAAACATTTTTTGAGAATTTGTTAATTATTTGTTCATCGATGAAACCATTGGGCACAACAAAAATGCGTTACGGGACTCACTGCTCTTGAATATTACAACTGAAAAAATTGCCATTTTTCACCAATGGTCACTGTATCTCCCCCTTAATCAGACAATTTGCCGGTAAAACGTTTGCACGCTTAAGTGTAGCACATGTACGTGACGGCAAAAATACAATTGCCGTCGATTCATATGAGCTATCACCTTTTATACATTACGTTGTTATAGATAAACAAAATGGAGCTGAAGCTTCCACAGTATTGACATAGTGACGTTAAAATCTAACGCGTGTCTTTGTCATTTGCAGATTGCGAGAAACAGTACCAGGTCCAAATAGGTAAACATCGTTCTGCATCCAGGAAACAATATCCACCACTGACTAAGATAAGGTTAACAAATGGCAAATCGGTTAACAGGCATATAAATAAGTGAACAAATTAAGGTTTGGTTAATTATACATTTTAGTCTTCATATTTTCTAAACCAATGTACTCCTTATCCCAAGTTAGCCGTGGGTATATGACAATCCTGAAATAAACTATTAATTTCTTGGCGTATATCCAATTATATAACCGGATAAGATGTTTCTGAAAACAGCTGAGCATATTCTTTTCGCATTTGTATAACCAAAAATACTAATCATGACAGAATGGCTCCTGATATTCAGCCTAGTTTTACTGGTGTAAGTGGCTGCCCGTTATAAGTTACCACAATCATGTAAACATGCACCTTTTTTATTTCCCTGTGGAAATATTTATATTTAAACATAAATTTTAGCCTATTTTATGATACCTGGGCTAGGTCTACATTGCCTTTGTTCTTTGCTTTTTTCATGATTTATTTGTTTATCTCAGTGATGTCAATATGGTTTCAATATGGGCATAACACACTTAACATGCAAAGTTAGTTTTATCATTATCTTGAAAAACACTTGAGAATTCGTTACTATATTTAGGAATGATAATATTATCGATATGATAATCAGCCCCCAAACCATCTAGTAGGTTTTCCCGTTAGTTATTTGTCCCGCACGACATGGTCGTATCTACTTTGCTTCCTCTCCCTTACTATTTGTAACATTTTACATTTAATCCTAGCATTACCAAATGGCCGAGTACTAACTAAATTGACTGGTTTTCAATTTTGACGTGATGTTAAAAAAAAAAAAATAATAATAGAAATGTATTAGCAATTAAAGTTCAAGGATCCTCATTACAATTAATAAATGATAAAGCTAGTCAATAAGCCAATCTAGGAAAAGAGGAAGGCAGCTAGAAATACGAGAGGCTCTGCCTCCGGCCTCCCCCTTCTTTATTTATTCTCAATATTTGTTTGAGAAAATAGTTAGTACAAATATATAATTCAAAAATATGCAAAAGAATTTGGTAGTAAGCTTAGAACTTAGTCTTATTACAGGGCAGAAAAGCACGTCTGTCCCGACTACACCGCAACCGACCACACCACCAGGTAAGTCATCTACAATTCACCCATTAAGTTTTATATTATTTCGTTTCTTTACGTTTCTATTCATTTTCTTTTTTAACAAAAGTGCATTTTTCTCCGAAGTACTTCTACATGATGTTACATGGTATTGTTTCCTTGAATTTCTGTTGTTGTTGAGTTATTGTTTCCTTTGTACGTTCCCTTACATTCCTACGCTGTTAAAGTTGTTAAATTAATACATTTGTATTAAGTGAGTTTCCAATAATGTCAATATTGTTTAATACACCTGCATTCTGCGAGTTTCCAACATTGTTTATGTTGTTTGATACACTTGTATTCTGTGAGTTTCCAACATTGTCAATGTCGTTTAATACAGGTGTATTCTGTTAGTGTCCAACATTGTCAATGTCGATTAATACACTTGTATTCTGTGAGTTTCCGACATTGTTTATGTTGTTTTATACACTTGTATTCTGTGAGTTTCCAACATTGTCAATGTTGTTTGATACACTTGTATTCTGTGAGTTTCCAACATTGTTTATGTTGTTTAATACTCTTGTATTCTGTGAGTTTCCAACATTGTCAAGGTCGTTTAATACAGCTGTATTCTGTTAGTGTCCAACATTGTCAATGTCGTTTAATACACTTGTATTCTGTGAGTTTCAAACATTGTTTATGTTGTTTAATACACCTGTATTCTGTGAGTTTCCAACATTGTCAATGTTGTTTGATACACTTGCATTCTGTGAGTTTCCAACATTGTCAATGTTGTTTAATACACTTGCATTCTGTGAGTTTCCAACATTGTCAATGTTGTTTAATACACTGGTATTCTGTGAGTTTCCAACATTGTCAATGTTGTTTAATACACTTGTATTCTGTGAGTTTCCAACATTGTCAATGTTGTTTAATACACTTGTATTCTGTGAGTTTCCAACATTGTTTATGTTGTTTAATACACTTGTATTCTGTGAGTTTCCAACATTGTCAATGTTGTTTAATACACTTGTATTCTGTGAGTTTCCAACATTGCCAATGTTGTTTAATACACTTGTATTCTGTTAGTGTCCAACATTGTCAATGTTGTTTAATACACTTGTATTCTGTGAGTTTCCAACATTGTTTATGTTGTTTGATACACTTGTATTCTGTGAGTTTCCAACATTGTCAATGTCGTTTAATACAGCTGTATTCTGTTAGTGTCCAACATTGTCAATGTCGTTTAATACACTTGTATTCTGTGAGTTTCCGACATAGTTTATGTTGTTTGATACACCTGTATTCTGTGAGTTTCCAACATTGTTC